AAGTCAGGCTGAGAACCACCGGCGAAGGGCGATACACCCGTGCTACTGGAGGGGTGGCAAGTATACGAACGCACCACGGTGCAACGTGGCAGAGCGACCCTCCCTGTGGGGCGTACCCAACCACCACACGAGGTTTTTATCCCTTGCGCATGCCATCAGATCTGCAGAGTGACAAGCCACCGAGCTATCGTAATTTCGGTTTTGTGCATTAATAAATGACTCTAACTATCCGGGGGAACGTCAGGCCAGTAAAACAGCTCAGTCATTTCGAACAAGCAAAAAAGTCGCGGAGGCAACTGAAACGTCAACTACCTTTTGGGCTATGGGAGCAGAGTGGAGATGTTCAGGGCCTGTGTACTGTGGCCAAACGAAGAGGAAGCGTTGATGTGAACCGCCTCGTCAGTTAGAGGTACACCAATTTTACCTGTGTGTGTGTTTGTGAATGAGTAGGCTGTGGAGCCAAACAAGTATTCTATTCATAACACATCTTCAGTCCCACCGTTTGATATGCATGCGCTGCGCGTGTTCGGGGGATGTAGAATGGTTCAGAACAGCGAGGAACTAAGGCTTCGGTTTGGCTGAGGTTAGTTAAATCCAGTCGAAGCAAAGCACCAGACATTGAATGGGGCTGACAAAGTTATTCAGGGATGGGACCACGCTTGAAGAACTAGAAATAATTTGGCTGGGTACGAAGTAATAAGGCCGGAGGAAGGAAATACAACCAGGTCAGTGGAGACGGGCTTGGCGGTAATTACGATGGCAGGCGCCAGACACTGCAAAACAACTACGCTTCAGAGGGCAGAAGACGAAGTATCAGAAAGTGAACGCCTGCATAAGAGATAGATAAAGTGGTACGTTACAGACAAGAGCACTTGGGAGGGTGGTTGCCACACTGTTGGGTTATTGCTAAGGGGTTCAGGCTGGTGAGTGTAAACACTAAAACCTAGTAACAGGACAGTCGGGGCAGGTGCACGGATTAAAAGAGCCTGGAAGGGTTTATTTCGAAGAAATTGTCTAGTCTAAGCTGAGGCACGAAAAGGAACTCAGCTCCCTCAATAGGAAGGTATGAAACGATGGCCTTTCGAAAGCCTAAATGAAATGAGATAGTGCGGACATGGGAGGGTAACTTGTTCCATAGTTTGGAATACAGGCAAGTGAAAAGTTCGACATGTTGAAAATGGGAGTGCACACCCATAGTTGCGCGTATTATAGAGAATGCAGGAAGGAAATTCAGGGCAGTAGTCAGTTATGCTGGCCCGCCGGCAGATTAGGCGATAAAGAAGGCCCAGATTCAACCCGATGCGTCTTAGCCACACCGACATGTTGAAAATGGGAGTGCACACCCAGAGTTGCGGATATTATAGAGAGTGCAGGAAGAAAATTCAGGGCAGTAGTCAGCTCTGCTGGCCCGCCGGCAGATTAGGCGATAAAGAAGGCCCAGATTCAACCCGATGCGTCTTAGCCACACTGAATCCAGCCCAAGTGACAAGCAGCAAAGACGATACGGCAGCGTGGATGGCTCAATAAACGAGCGCTGCACATTCCTTACAGTTAAAGCTAAATGCACAGGAATACCTAAGGCCTAGGTCTCTCACTTCGGGAAGAGAAGACATCGGGGGTCCTTTAGGAGTAAACGTCCCAGGAGGAGGAATCGATGCGAGATAGCTGGCATTTTGGAACAGCGAACAAAAGACATGAGTTAGAGAACCAGAGGGATAAAGGATTCAGGTCAGACAGAATGATAGCAAAAGTGAAAACAGAGTCACTGGCCTTAAACGCATAAGCTATCGTAATTTCATCGGCGGACAGAAAATTGGATCCATGGGTGATCTAATCACTGACGTTATCGATGTATAGTAAGAACAGTAGGGTTGCAAGCACATTACCCCAAATAACTCCGCTGGTAATGGGACGTAGTGGGGAGGAGAGATCCCCGATTTTGGTGGCCTGGGTTCTCCCAGTGAGGCAAGAGGTGAACCATCGAAGTAGCGGACCACCAATCCCCATAGATCGTAATTTGTTGAGGAGTGCACCGTGGAGAACTTGGTTGAACGCTCTGCGGATACCAAGATAGATAAAAGAATTACAAAGCTCGGCATGGTAGGCGGACGAAATATGATTGAAAACATCAACTTGGCATGTGTTAGCTGACCGCCATGACAAAAACCCACACTGCCGATTGTTAAGCGTTTTGGTGGTGAGCACGTACTCCATGACAGGGACCTTGAAAAGGCGCTCTAGGGCGCGGGCGAGTAAGCAGGTATGGTGGATGCCACAATAACTGGCTAGAGCATTTCGTGGACCTTACGTATATTGTGAAACCATAATACAGTGCTTTCAATGACTTGAGACCGTGGCAGTGGTAAGGGAGATACTGAAGAGAATAAGGATGATGATGGGGACGTCCGGGCCACCAGCTTTTAAGACAAGCGAAGGGATACCGTCAGTGCCTGGGATAGTGGATTCTCTAAGGTGGACGGGAGAAGTTACGTCGGATAAAAAACTGAGAGTGTGCAGAGGTTGGGGCTTGTCTCGTCAGCAGATGTGGTCACTTCGTAGACAGGTGGGGAGCATTGAGTAGATAGGGTAGTTGTGGAGGGAACATAGCAGCTAGCGAGGTGAGAGTTTGGGGATTCTACAGTGCCAGCAGGGTCAGACAGAGGCATCCAGTCAGCAGACACGATATTTGAAACTGCAGATAAATTTGAGAAGCAACGCCAGTGAAAGAGGCGCCCCAGCATTTTAGATTCTAGAGAATGGGCTACGGCGATAGATTTCTCGCGCTTTTCAAGAGCGAATTTGGCAGCGGTAATACCACTCATAGGTTTGTTAATCACAATGAGGAGGGAGAAATCACGGGATTTAAGGAAGAGCCTACGATACTTTCCAAGTTTATGGCGTATGGCGGGTAACCGTGTGGCTGGATGGTAACCAGATGCATGGGAAGCCCGAGTGGGAGCAACTAGATTTAATGATGATGGCAGGTTGCCGTAAAAGATGTTGGCCACGCGTTGCGTGCCACCAGAGTGAAAGAACTCGCACCAGGTCTTATGGCGCAATGAGACTGCAAAAGCTTCAAGAATGTCGGGGGAAAGAATGAAAAAACATAGGGGTGGAGAGTAGGAGAAATGTGGGTACTCGTCCAGCCGCAAGTGACAATGCAATTGTCGCTACCAGGGAACTTCTGGCCCACTTCAGCGGCGGGACACAGATAGCTGTTGACAAGGGCAACATCCAGGGTGTGGGCACCGCATGTTGGTTGCCTTACAAGCTGGGACTAGCCTTCGACATCAAATTGGGCAAGCAGAGGCGAGAGGCGCAAAATGGAGTTTTGTGTAGACCAGGCAATCTTAGGAGGCTTGAGATCCCCAACGGTTAGTTTGTTTGGGGTGAGGTAGGACTTGGGTGTTAGAAAGAAGTGTGGATAGACGATTAATGGAGCTAATGGAGTGTGGAGGGGGCATGTACATGCCTCCGAGGATGAACGGCGGATTGTCCCGACAGGCAGAAGGCCAAAGAGAGACTGGAGTGTCCGCCAGTAGTGGATCATCAATAGTGAAGACTTCCACTTTAGTTCTGGAGTATATGATGCAGCTACCACGTGAACGAAAATTTATGAATATGGTTCACCGTTAACTGAGTCACTTCTCCCCCTGCAAGCAGTGGGTGATGCATGGCAATAAAAACCAACAAACGCCAGTCGTGGCTGGCTGTATTCAAAGAATGGTATGGCCTTTCTACTTCATGTTTGCGATCACTTCAGGGGCTGAGGGAGAGGAACGTGTGCATCATGTCCGATTGGTGAGGTGATCTTGGGTCGGTGGAACTCCAACCAAGACAATGGTGACGACAGCCATGCACGTGGACGACGTGAGTTTGTTTCGCTCGGTACCTCCTACTGACCCATAATTTTGTGTAAGATTCAAGGTCAGCAAAGTACCTGCGTCTGTGCGTTACCCTAGGGGCATGTACATGCCTCCGAGGATGAACGGCGGATTGGCCCGACAGGCAGAAGGCCAAAGAGAGACTGGAGTGTCCGCCAGTAGTGGATCATCAATAGTGAAGACTTCCACTTTAGTTCTGGAGTATATGATGCAGCTACCACGTGAACGAAAATTTATGAATATGGTTCACCGTTAACTGAGTCACTTCTCCCCCTGCAAGCAGTGGGTGATGCATGGCAATAAAAACCAACAAACGCCAGTCGTGGCTGGCTGTATTCAAAGAATGGTATGGCCTTTTTACTTCATGTTTGCGATCACTTCAGAGGCCGAGGGAGAGGAACGTGTGCATCATGTCCGATTGGTGAGGTGATCTTGGGTCGGTGGAACTCCAACCAAGACAATGGTGACGACAGCCATGCACGTGGACGTTAGACGTGAGTTTCGCTCGGTACCTCCTACTGACCCATAATTTTGTGTAAGATTCAAGGTCAGCAAAGTACCTGCGTCTGTGCGTTACCCTATGGCGTTTTTTATACAAAACTACCCAACTGAACGTAAAACACAAGGGCCAGACTGGTTGCGCTCGCCTAGTCAGCAAGAATATTGATGGCTGAAAGCTTAAAATGTTTATCCTTCTCGAAACAGGCCAAATAAAGCCCGCGGTGTTGAACACGTTCACCTTCCATGTCCCACCGCCCGTCACTGGGAATGTGTGCGGCTTCTGTCTAGGATTGTGTTGCTACGTTAATATGTGGGTCACGGAAAGCGGTCTGTCCCATAGGTGGCATCGGCACTCCAACTGCTCGCTAATCACCAGGATAAAGTAAAATAGCTGATCCAGCAGATGGTCGCCGTCCGTCTGAAGGGTATTTTGTCTGGGTCGTAGCAAACCAAGAACAGATTCCGCGTCGTTCAAACAACCCAATTATGATAAAGGACCTTTTGAGTAGGGAAAACGGCACTGATTTCGCACGACGTTACTGGTCAAACATTTTTTATTTTCCAAATAAGGCACTCATTATTACTGAGGTAAGAGGCTGTGACCTGCGTCAATCGATGTTACTCGCCCATGTGCCGACGGGCATTCGTAAAAAAACCTGGAAAACATCTGGTGGCAAGGCAGATGATGAGAAGCAATTATCGAAGTACGCTGCCATCGTGTACAACTTACAACCTATCTTTAATATGGTGATAAGACGTCACGATTTGGACCTGAATCTCACTGGATTCGCCGTGTGCTATGCTTCGTACTCGATCCAGGTGGTTACCTGCAGCAATGAGACGCAGACCCCAAGGGTGAGGCGCACTCGAAATAATGTCTCCGACGATGCAAGCGAAACGTTCAAGAAAGCACACGCCTTTCTATTACTTCAAAACACTAACACCTCCTGGCTGGATTTCCCGAAGTGACCGAGCAAAGAAAGACCTGTAGTTACAAAACTGTGGCTTGCTGGAAGAAAACCGGGATTGATTTCGCCGAAACTATGAGGTTGTTAAGTGGAGTGTGTTACACGTATGAACGTGTGTTTCAGCAATATTTGCCCATCCGTATTCTCAAGTGGGAGAAAGTTCGGAATCACTAAACACCGCTGATCCGTATGTGACTACCGGCTTACAATAGGGCGCAAACCCCAAATGTTGTAAAGTTTAACGGTCTGCAGTGACTTTGAAATCAGAGATATTCTTCACCTGATGGCTAATGCAAATTCCATCCAGATGGATTTTGAATAACTTTTTGGTTCGTTATACACATCAAGCGTGAAATGATTAATGAAAACTTGGCGCATTACGCACGCTGTGCCGAGTAGAATTTTGGAAGATGACGTAATACCCTGTGTAATGTGAATGCCACGATTCCTCTTATGAATGGTTGCCCCTCTCAGACATGAGGGAATATTCACGAGGAATTGCATCTTTCTCCAGAAGTTGGTGTTCGATTTCCAACCACTCCGTTTAGTAATCTTTCCCAGTAGGTAACATAATTCCAGTGGGTTGGAATTCTTCGAAACAAACAGCGAAATTGCCGTCAAATACACTCCATGGTAATCCTTCATCGTCATAATCACATTTTTGCTTGCTTTATCTGCTTACCGTGAGTGTTGAGTCCGTAGCTATGTCCCACTGGTTATGAGGCTTTAACTATGAATGGTTGCCTAATCCGATGGCCTACAACGGGGGCACACCACCTGGCAGGGGGTCGGCGGAAAAAGGAAGTGATTTTAGCGCTCCATGCTCACTACCTGGTAGGCTAATCCGCAGGTCTCCACACAGCGGGCAAGGCTTGTTATCACAGCGATAGCCGTGGAGAGCTAACCAGTCCGACCTATACCATCGATCAGCAGGGCCAGTCGGCAGGCGGCCAGCAACCACGTGGCACATCGTCCTGTCATATCTGCTGATTCGTCAATCTGTGGTATCTGCTGCTGACCCGCTCCAGAGCCTAATGCCGGAGAAAAAAGAGTCACAGTAGGGAACACAATAGCTGTATTCCGAACAAGCGAGTGAGTACGTGCGAGTGCGAGAGCAAAAGTTACAACGGCCCCACGCTACTTAAAGGGGACTTTCCGACATTGATCCAGACTGTTTGATAGGCGTTAATGAACACCCATCAAGATCGATCGTGCCTCTGTGAAAAAGCCTGAACGCTGATCACATTCGGACGCGCTTCTTCGGCCCACAAGAGCACTCATCAGGTATTGCTGAATTGATTGTAGGATTGACTGGCCTGGATGCTTGCCGGCGTTCCTGTTGAGTTTTTGGTGGAGCAGTGGGTTTCGGGCGTTCTAAAGTTGTTTTCAGAAATTTGACCGTCCTGATACGTCCATTGGTGCAGACCGCCACCTAGTTCGAAGAATGCTGTCCCCAAACACTGTGGGTCGGCTTTCCGGGCCAGTGGCTGAATGTCTGTAACTGTATAACAGACTTCAATTGCTCCAAATGATGTACCAAGACTATACGTGCAGCATATGGCTCCAAGGTTCATGGTTTTAGTGAGACGTCAAAAGACAGCCACCTTTTGTGTGCCGACAAAGGTGCGTGAGCAAAAGGATAGCCCTCATATACCGCAAAAATAAAAGGCCGACGACATACCACCTAAGGTAGACAAACGTTAATGACTACGTGTATAACAATTGATGTTGGCAGCAAACCCGGTAGTTGTGGTGACCTTGTGTGCCAGCGCTTTCAAAAATTAACGCGCCGCGTATTGCTGCACCTATGCTGACGGAATCCTATGCTGCGTCAGAGCAGTGCACTTTTTTAATTCATCGCAATTTTGATATCGTCTGACGAGGGGCCCATTAAGAAACGGCTAATTGGGATGTCATGCCCCAGATGTCCATCATCGCAGGGTTATTCGGTCAAAAAAGGTAGAAACTCACCGTGCATCGGATACGGCGTACGCTGCCGAACTTGCGAGTTTTTCGTCCTTGGCTCCATATGGCGAGACGCCCACTAGAGCCATAGAAAACATTTTGCGTCCAAATTTCACGAATGACTGGTATTTTTAGTTTACAGGTGCAGAAAGAATAATCACCGTTCATGTACACCCTCAAACTATTTTCAGCTGGGTTGGGGTAGAAAAGGTTTGGAAAAACTAAATTCTCCGTAAAGTCCTCTTCAATATATACAGGTATGTCGCGTCTGGTCGTACTCATTAAAACATACTTTCCAGGCTCCTAATGAACCTTGGATACTTTGAGACAAAATTGTAACTGTCCGGAAAGATTTTGGCTTTTTAAATAAATCTTTGATCGCAAAATTTGTATGCAACAGTCTCCGCTTTCCAACATTGTTTTCGGCGAAATTATGGGTGCGCACCTAAGGATCGACGGCAACATAGCAAAATAATTTCAATTTTCCGCTTAGAGAGTTGATAAAGCAGCATGTTCATTGCATCAGAACAAACATCCTTCAACCACTTATCAACAAATATCCGAGCGTTCACCTCTTCACAAACTTTCCAGTCGTGGTAATGAGCAAAATGTTGCCGTGGTTGAGCTATGTAGTCCGCAGTTGCTGGCTGTACATATTGGCAGATGAGGAGCGAATAGACCGGCCGTCGTGTTTGTAGGCCGTATTGCTGACTCTGAGAAGGGTAGCTCCCGAAAAGAGTTATTTTGTCATTTAAGTGGCCATTGCTCCGTAGGAGACCGTACCCGCAGTGGAAGCTTGTCTAGTTTCTGACAAGGACGTGAAATTCCCTTATTTAGTACGTCCTGGGTTTTGGACGTAGCCGTTGAACGTTCAGTCGGTTTGTATATGGGGATGGCTAGCGGATCAGATTCGCCCCCGTCACTGACAGCAACATTGGCCAAATGTCCAAACAACGTTGTCGGCATCCGGGCCGCGTGTGAGCCCACCGCGTGTGGGCGGAATCAAACAACCAGGTGCTGAAGACACATCTGGCGAAATAGGTCAACACCAGTATGATACAGCTCAGAAATGCGTTCTATTTCGAATGCCAAATGGCGTAGATTATCAATTTTTGCTGCCGTAACAAGTTGTGAAATATTCCTGGCTCGGAGGGGCGAACAAGTATCCCGGTTGCCCCTTGAAGTTGTTTAAGAATGCTGTCGACGTCATCCACCAGACTAAATGTATGTGGGAATTTTCGTAACTTACGAGTGTACAAACAGACCCTAGTTTCAAAAAACGACCACGTGAATTATTTTCCAAGAAGGTGAGCAACGTACTGAGTATGCACATCTCAAGTTTAATAGCTTTAATACGACCCAACCTCAGCAAACAAAGTGAGCTTATGATGGCCGGGGAGTAATTCTTTCATCAACCACATCGGCGGAAACAAATGAAAAAAGTATCGTTGACTAAATTTGCCGAGACATGCGGAAAAATATCGCGTCAACTACAAAGAAAGGATAAGAAATTGAATTCACTGATATTTTGCCATCTCTTTTGTGGCGTTTTGTACCTTTATTTTACTTCCATTATAACACTACGTATTTCATCAATTGCATAATCGTTTTTTGTTTGAATACGAAAAACTACAAAAACACGCACTGGTACAATTCCTCACAATACAAGCGTGGTCACGTGCTTCGACTCTATCTTCTGATTTCGCTCGCGATTGCAGCGGTCATTCGCGAGTCTCACGTACTAACTCTGGTACCAAAACATTTCAGACATCTTCGGAATCTATTATATGTGGGAACTGTTCAGAAAAAGACCTCTGGACCAACATAATTGGATTATTGTTTATTCGCTGACCCGGGCCAACGGCGAACTATTTTAAAGGGAACAATTGTTAGTGCGTCTGTTCCATCTGATCTATCTATTTTTGTATACCCAACCCAGCGTAATCATTTTTATTTCTTTGCCAAACACTCCTGGTAAACTAACTTATTGGGTAGCCAGACCACTACAAATTTGCTGAGCCCGAGTATTTCTAGATATTTTTTGAAACTTTTTCTTTCAATTCGTCGTAATTTTTTTCTTTTGCTCGGTAATTATGGAAGCACATTTTGATTCAGCGGATTCATTCGAGAATGCAATTTGCATACGTTTGCCAGAATACAATCCACGCAACCCCAGGGTATGGTTTCACCAGGTGGAGGCAGTTTTTGCTACCCGACGCATCACTTCCCAAGTCACCCGGTTTTCCCATGTTGTCCAGCATCTTCCTTGTGATGTAGCAACAGAAATTGAAGATCTGTTGGAAGATAATCCTAATGAAAATCCGTATGACGCCTTTCGAGCGGCCGTCATAAGTCGGACAGGGAAATCAGAGAACAAAATGCTACGGGATCTATTCACCACTGTCGAACTTGGGGAGAGATCGCCATCACAACTGCTTCGCCACATGCGCAGCCTCCTCTGCGGTCGTAAGCTAGCGGTGAAAATTATGGCCCAACTATGGCCCGACAAACTCCCACCCTGCATGTCCCACGTCATCAGCGCTTTCGTTGATGACCACAGATTGGAGCAGCTAGCACATATGGCGGATAAGATACACGAAACATATCCCAATATCCCCGTAAACTCCGTCTCCCGCCCTGCACCCACTACAGATTCCGACCCGCTTCTTGCTTCTGTATCGCACTTACAAGCCAAGTTTGATGCTCTGACGGATCGCCTGCAACGGTTAGAGATCAACAGGCATCGACCAGGTTCACGATCCAGATTGTTATCTTGTGCCCGTCCCTCTTGCTGCTGGTATCACCAATCTTATGGCCCAAAAGCACGCAAGTGTCAACCACCTTGTTCCTTCAAGCCGCGTTCCAACACTCCTCTAAACAACGTCTCTTAGACACACTTACTTCCCTCTCAGTCAACGGAATTAGTGCCCCAAATTCATCCACATGTATCCGAGCTATCTTACCGGATTCAAATTTTGCTGACATACTTAGGGATTTTCCAACCCTTACTCACCCATGTCCGTACACCCAACCGGTCACTCATTCCGTCGTTCACCACATTCAGACGAGAGGTCCACCTGTCCATGTCAACCCCCGCCGACTCCATCCGGATAAGCTACAAATCGCAAAACACGAGTTCGAACACATGCTCGAACTCGGCATCATCCGCCCTTCATCGAGTCATTGGTCATCACCCCTACATATGGTACCTAAGAAATCTAAAGGTGATTGGAGACCCTGTGGAGATTACCGTTCTCTCAACAACGCTACTATCCCAGACAGGTATCCCATCCCACATATCCACGATTTTGCAAGTACCCTATGCCATACAAACATTTTCTCCAAACTCGATCTCGTAAGAGCATACTACCACATACCCGTAGCTCCGGATGACATTCCCAAAACAGCCATCACAACACCGTTTGGCCTTTTCGAATTCACGCGTATGCCCTTTGGTCTTCGAAATGCAGCCCAAACGTTTCAACGTTTCATGGACGAGGTTTTACGTGGCTTACCGTTTGTGTACGCCTACCTTGACGATGTTTTAGTCGCTAGCACCTCCCCAGCTGAACATACAGCTCATCTCAGAGCAGTGTTTGAACGTTTTTCCACTTACAACATACGTTTGAACATTGACAAATGCTTATTCGGTGTTACTAGCCTGGATTTTCTTGGCCACCACATTGACGCCACAGGTATTTCACCATTACCCGATCGCATTTTGGCCTTAGAGTCATTTCCCATGCCCACAACTATCACTCAACTTCGTCGTTTCATTGGTATCATCAACTACTACCGGCGATTCATCCCTCACTGTGCAGATATTTTGAAGCCACTGACCGATTTACTTGGCTCCAAAGAGAAATCTGTTACTTTGCACCCCGCCGCCACTGCTGCTTTCGAAAGAGCCAAGCACGCCATTGCTCAGGCCACAAAGTTATCTTTCCTCGATACTCACGAGAGCACAAAGCTGATTTTGACAACTGATGCTTCGAATGCTGCCGTCGGTGCAGTGCTTCATCAAGTTGTTAACAACACACCTCAACCACTAGCGTTTTTCTCGCAGAAGATGCAGGCTGCCCAAACGCGTTACAGTACTTTTGGTCGTGAATTACTCGCAATTTACCTTGCTATTCGCCATTTCCGGCACTTGTTAGAGGGTAGATCGTTTACCATTCAAACCGACCATAAGCCACTCACATACGCCTTCAACGCCAAGCCTGATCGATATTCACCACGCGAGATACGCCATCTGGATTATATTTCACAGTTCACTACCGACATTCGGTACACTCCAGGTTCGGACAATGTCGTCGCAGACGCCTTATCCCGTCCTGACATAAACGCTCTTCACCCTTCCACGCAGTTGGACCTAGCCAAGCTGGCGAACCTTCAAAACACTGATCCTAATTTTTTGCCTATTCTATCGTTCCCTTCATTTCAAGTCTCTTCAACTCCGTTACCCCTCCAATCCGGAGCCATTTTTTGTGATATGTCTACCGGATCAGCTCGCCCAATCGTCCCCGAAGCTTTCCGACGCGTTGTTTTCGACCACTTCCATGGATTTTCTCATCCAGGAATCCGAGCAACCAGGAAGTTGATTAGTGCACGTTTTGTATGGCCCTTCATGAATAAGGACCTGACATCCTGGGCCAAACAGTGCATCGCCTGTCAACGCACTAAAGTAACTCGGCATACGAACTCACCTATTGGTTCATTTGCCGTTCCTGATGCTCGGTTCACACACGTCCATCTCGATATTGTTGGTCCTCTTTCCCCATCAAACGGTTTCACTCATATCCTTACCATGATTGATCGTTTTACCCGTTGGCCAGTAGCTGTACCCATTTCGGATACTTCAGCTGAAACAGTTGCTTTTTCATTTTTGCAACACTGGGTTAGTAATTTTGGTATACCTTCCACCGTTACTACGGATCGCGGCTCACAATTTCAGTGTAATCTCTTCCGTGAGTTTTCTACACTATTCGGTTTCCATCACATATCGACTACCGCGTATCATCCCTGTTCCAACGGTCTGGTTGAGCGTTTCCATCGCTACCTCAAAGCTGCATTGACTGCCCAAATGAACCCATCTTCATGGTCCTCTTCTTTACCCCTCATTTTGCTTGCTATTCGCTCCACTATTAAGGAGGATCTTCACTGTTCCCCAGCCGAACTAGTATACGGTACAACTCTACGTCTACCCGGTGAACTAGTTTCCCCTTCTGGCGCACAGCCCGAATCACCCGTTACATTCGTCTCCCGTCTGAAACAACACATGTCCGAACTTCGTGCGACACCGACCAGACGATTAACGCGAACGGAGCACATCTCAACCGAACTCTCTTCCACACCATTTGTATTTGTCCGACATGACGTAACGAGGAAACCCCTCCAACCCTGTTATGATGGCCCCTTCAAGGTTATCGAACGTCACTCCAAATACTGTGTTTTAGAGCGAAGCGGAAAGCATGATACCGTCTCCATTGATCGTCTAAAACCTGCCTACATCGAAGCAGCCACGACCACATCCAGCAATCCCGCTACCCCAACAGCATCCACACCCACCCAAGATATCCCTCCAACCTCACTCCTTCCACTAGTCATTCCGGACGTCGCGTCCGTTTCCCTCAGCACTTAGCTGATTACGAAACTTGAAGTGAGCAACTTGTGATTCGTTACTTTATTTATTCGAGCGTTTTCCCCTTTCATGGTCAACGCTCTGGTGGGGGGGTAGTGTAGCGTTCCGTACCTTTATTTTACTTCCGTTATAACAGCACGTATTTCATCAATTGCATAATCGTTTTTTGTTTGAATACGAAAAACTACAAAAACACGCACTGGTACAATTCCTCACAATACAAGCGTGGTCACGTGCTTCGACTCTATCTTCTGATTTCGCTCGCGATTGCAGCGGTCATTCGCGAGTCTCACGTACTAACTCTGGTACCAAAACATTTCAGACATCTTCGGAATCTATTATATGTGAGAACTGTTCAGAAAAAGACCTCTGGACAAACATAATTGGATTATTGTTTATTCGCTGACCCGGGCCAACGGCGAACTATTTTAAAGGGAACAATTGTTAGTGCGTCTGTTCCATCTGATCTATCTATTTTTGTATACCCAACCCAGCGTAATCATTTTTATTTCTTTGCCAAACACTCCTGGTAAACTAACTTATTGGGTAGCCAAACCACTACACTTTCATCAGTTCAGTTCTAAATGCGACGAGCTCACGATGTTCAAAAGAATTCGATATTATATCGTTGCAATTAAACCATATTGAAGAATTTACGCGCCCTGACTTATTGGGTAGCCAAACCACTACACTTTCAGGAAATCAGTTCTAAATGCGACGAGCTCACGATGTTCAAAACAATTCGATATTATAACGTCGCAATTAAGCCATATTGAAGAATTTACCTTCCACAACCTGATTTCCGTAAATATCCGATCATTGGATCCATCAAAGACAATTAAAAAGTTTCCGTCTTGCGTCAATTTTTTAAAAAACTTTTGGCACTCCCCTGATATCCTTTTGGTCAAGCTCAGGACAAAGCAGATTTTCCACTCCAAAATGGCCCAGTTTGATGATATACAGCAGCGAACGCTCTTGTTCTCGCCTAGCATGTTTGATCTGACACTCGCCTTCTAACTCATAAAGTTTATGCGCTATCATTTGTACAATATTCACATGTTAAGAAGTCTGTTCAGGCTGGCCAGGACGAATCAGCAGGACAAAGCTAGCGGGCGAGGCCGATTTTATGATACTTTAATGCCGCCACGTGGCTAATGACGGGAAATGCGTTACGCACATGCAAATGTTTGGATTCAGCAACCTGTAAAACGCGCCTGAACTTTAGGTCAATAATTTGTTTTAACCAACCAACTTACATTGACAGTGGCATAGTCCGAGGAACTATATAATGCTGCCGCCGCCATGATGGTTTTGCTACCCTAGACCCCGCGCCATCTTGGAGCGGTTTTGGGGTTGTTCACACTAAAGGTTCGGCCACTAATTCAATAAAGACGTGCAGACCCTCAGGCGATTAAGTATCATTTGTATGAGTTTTGGATATTCCTATTGTGCCTTATACATCCTTTGACTGAGGATGTCTTTTCCTGATCTCTTAATTTTTGTGAAAATTTACGCAGGGACCATTTTCCTTTTTTTCCTTTTTAGCTATGAGCAAAGTCTCTTTCCGGGCACGACAGATCGACTTTAATAAACCGCTGCCGATCGTGAAGGATGGTTCAGACATACTCGCAGAATTCAGTGAGAATGCTTTTGTCAATCGTGGAGTGCCGCAGATACCCAGTGGAATGGAAAAAGAGGAGGAAAATGTAATTTCTGGGTGTAAAATATGTTTAAAATTTATCCCTATTGATGCTATGCGTTAAGCTGTTTCCCAAGTTTCATCATATTCGGTTACTCCTTTTATCGATTTGCATTGCGCGTCTGTATTCCTATTGGCCCATTCCTAACTTCGGCTCCGAATCCCGCCTCCGCCTTAGGAACACCACTTCGTCGAAGTCATCCAGGCTCTTCAGCTCAACTCCGGTGCAGATGTCAAGATTCCAGTCCCGGACATCATCGATCGGAGCACTTGGTACAAAAAGTTATACTCAGATGAATTTGCGCTACCTACCCAACTGGTACATATCAGAAGTAAGCTGTGGACATCACTCGATGACGCTTTAGATATTGTCTTGGCTGAGGATGAGCCGACGGATTATGACATGGACACCGAGGATGAAGAGTGGCTTAGTCGCAGTCAGCTGGATGTAACTCCCCAGAAATTCGAGTCTATGATCGACCGGCTCGAACGTGGGTGCGGACAGAAAGTGAGCCTCATTCACCTACTGACCATCTTTTGCAGGTGATGAACCTAGAGGAGGCAAATTACTTACTCCAGGACGACCCTTCTCTCGTTATCGCTGTTTATGACTACTGGCTGAATAAGCGTGTACAGTCTCGACAGCCGCTTTTGTTTTCCGTCCGTCAAGAGAGGCGTGATAGCGGAAGTAATGCGGACCCTTACGTTGCCTTCCGTCGACGCAGTGAGAAAATGCAAACAAGAAAGAATCGGAAGAATGATGAGCAATCTTACGAAAAAATGCTTATACTTCGTGACCAGATGGACACTTTAGGGTTTGTTCCATATCTATGCAACTCACTCTTGTTCAGGGAGATACTATCGGTGCTCGTTAAGCGGGAGACCACGAAGGAAGCGATTGTACAGAGCAACCTACGGATGTTCGAAGCAAGATATCGTTTACAAGATTGGGATGGAGTGCATTTGCTGGAGGCCGAGAATGTTGCTCGAAAATTGCAGCGACCTGCAGACGGAATTGACACCATACGTCCTCCAAAGGTGAGTGACCTTATATTCATTCACACTGTTTTCCATAGGAATCGGTCCGTAAACGGTCCACTCGGAAGCGGAAATTGACCCACCGAATCCTCAACTTGTCCATCCGAGCAGAAGATGCATCCGACACCGAACGTAATGAACCGGACGCCGATGGACCGTTCGCTTTCGTCCGGATGCAGGGCTGCCGGTATCTGAGACCCAGGTATTTCCTTTATCTGCGCGTCCTGCCTTGTGACCCGTTTCTCATTGTGATTCGATTTCTTTCACTATACCTCTTCACTCTGGTAATTTCTCAGATTAGACGTAGACTGATAGCGCGTAAGCCTAAGCTCGGTCCTGATTCTTGGGTTGGGCATCTGAGCAATGGGTGGCGCAATTGTCGTTTATGTACTCCAATTTTGTTCTTGCACAAAAACTGTATGGACTTGAGGCGGGTAATATTGCCGCTTTTGTACATAGCTGTTCAAGAAATAAATATCTTCTGTCTCATTGGGGTCGTTTGCTCCAGCGTTTGGCGTCATGGAAAGGATATGTTAGCCGTCTTTGGGCTTTTTTTCTTTTGCTGCGAAACGAACCGGTGGGAAAGCTGCGGTTGGGTACTGATGTTCCGAGTGTGTTTGCCGTCACACGGTGATTGCGCACGTGCGTAGGTCCTTAGCCTTTTAAATACGTACGTCATTTCGCCCCAATGAACTTCAAGTGAAAGCCGAAGTGTGATTGCATGCCAACCTGTGTGATGGCCATACACAAACTGCGCCCTGTGTTACTGACTTTGGCCGCGGCCTCCTAATCGCTAGCGAGCTATATCTGACCTAGAGAGTAAGTGGGTCATTACGATTACGAATACTGTCGCTGGTCACGAAGAACGGCAGTTGTCACCCGTGCTATCGTATCTCACTGGACCCAATGGTTTCAGCTAGTGCCAACAGTCAACAAGTTTCCGTCGTGTGGTCCGTCAATGGTTTCAGCTAGTGCCAACAGTCAACGCGTTTCCGTCGTGTGGTCCGTGTGTTTTGGAGTTAACAGGAACCTACAGGGCGGCGACTTTGATGTAATGAGTTGTCTTGGATCCATGTCCAGATCGCGGTGCTATTTTTCTGCTCGGTTTCGCTTTTGTCACTTGACCCGATGTAGGTAGTTTGTGAATGCGGTCGATACTCTAGGAGGTGTTGTGCCGTTAGGTTACGGATTGATTATCGGGTGTGAACGGGCCCCATTGGTTTCCCTAGGTCAGTTGCATACGCATTGTACGCGGGGACCCGTTTCCATCGTTCGGTTCAAACATCTTTCTCGGATGTCAATGTAACTGCTACGGATTAATGTGCAGAATCCACTATGGTTTGGTGTATGCACTGAGCCGTTGGAGCCCAAACGGACACTTGATGTAGTTTCAGTCCGGATAGCAGTTTTGTATTAAGGATCCTCAACCTGTTCCCCGAAGCCAAGCGCGGATTTCATCCATCATGGAGGTGGCAACTTCAGATTTGAATGTTTCAGGCAGCCGACTAGCCCTATGTGGTGGGTCTCACGCGGCACAGTGTGATACCATGAGCGTGCCACCGTCGACCGTGATCCGCGTTCGTTGTCATATTGCTGCATCTTGTCTCTCGGTAGTTGCGATTCGTATTTAGCCTGGCAAGAGGTCTTTCAACCCGAATAACCCACCAAACTGTCCATTTACGCCTTTCTCTGTGATAAGGATTGGCGTTTGTTGGATGATTCGTGCAGAGCCATGTGACATGTTTCAGGACTCCGGGCGCTAAACAACTGTCCAAAATTGTGGGCTGTTACCGAAGCCCTTCAAGGCTAAGTGAGTTCAGCGGCCATTTTGTGCGTAACATCCGTTTACTGGTTGGGAGAACCACGTCCGCAATATCGTTTCCGTTTTTGAACTAGGTGTTTCGGATACTATCGTCTGCCCTTAGTCGGTGTCCTGTGTGGCTTTATGTAACGGGGGAGGGGAGTACTGTGGGTCTTCTGGTGTTTGACTTATTTTTCGCGCGCTTGTGGTGAACAGTTTACCAATGATTTATCCCCTGGACTGTAAACCCACTGGTGTTGCCTACTGCACTGGGTTCAGCTGGTACAGCAAAGCATGAACGACGAGGTCATTCTTGAGGATGATCGGTTCGCTGGCGTGATTTCTGTAGTCTTCGTTGTGATCACTCCTGAATCATTAGTTCAGCAAATTAGCGTTATTCTTCACCGGGACTCCACTTAGTACTAGCTCATTCCTCGTCGTAAGCCTGCTGCAAAGTCAGCGACCCACCGATCTAGGGGCTCTCCGGGCTCGTCTACTTACCTAGGAAACGGCGATGACCGGCGAACCAGAGACGAGACTTCCTGCATCTTTCCCCGACATCGAGGCCATTCTGCTGCATCTTGTCTCTCGGTAGTTAGGAATTGTATTTAGTCTGGTAAGTGGCCTTTCAGCTCGAATAACGAACCAGACTTCCCACCGTTTTCGTGTAGTTCTCCATCTGCTCATCGGCTATTTATTGTGGTAGAAGAGGCGAGTTTGAATGTCCAAAACCCCTTGCTGGTCTCTGGAAATGAAAGTATAAATATTCTGTAATCGTCCAACGTTCACTGCTGTGAGTGCAGCTTCCGTGTCAGGGGTTTCCGACCGCACTGTGGCCAATCTGAAGCTCCTTTATTTCAAAAGTTAGTGGGCACATCCTCGCAAAGCCCGTTCCGTGAAGTGCCAGTAGGTATTTCTGCAGCTGCAACATGGCTTTTAGCCTGGCCCCTGGTGCCCGTCCATGATGTATTACGACTAATACCATTCCTTACAGCAGTGAAGCATCACTATCAACACTGATTTTGCTGTCTCCGATAATGTGATTGCCGTTCCTCCTTGCATGTGGTTCAACTATTCGTTTCTGCCAGCCCTCCTGAGTGACATGGACTCACTGGTCGGTCAAAAGCTCTGACAATCCGTCTTCACAGAGTGGTACGGTGCGCACTCATTCTTTTAAAGAATCTTATGACGTGGTGCGGTCTTCCGTTGACCGACGTATTATTCGTGGTCAACAACATGCGTTCTAGCCGACATAAGGGTGGGTGACAGACATGGTTTTCCATCATGCACACCTGTTGAGTCACTAGAAACCCACTTGTTCGCTTCATGTCACAATCTAGTCTTTTTTCTGACGATCACCCTACTCCTATGTAATCTCCGTGGCACGTGTGCCATGCCAAGTGATTGATCGATGAGTCGCACTCCGGTGTTCTATCGATGGGTTCGTGTTCAGTGACTGATTTGGGCCTGTCCATCCGCTTTTCAGAGCATGCACCATAGTTGCGGCTGTTTAGAAATATTTAGTCTAAAAACAGCAACCAGTTACTTGTTCAATTGGCTGGAGGTCTTAGAGAACGAGATGAGCAACGGGTTGCCAACAGCGCAATACTTTATTGCTCGACACCTTTTGACGCAATTTCGGCTACTGTTTATCGTAATCCGTACTGCCATTTGGCGTACTAAATCGAACCAATAAAGGTTTTTTGGTCTCGTCCGCTACCAGTTTAGTGTAAATGCTTTATTGGACCCAGAAGAACACGTAACAGATAGTCGTTAG